AAAAGTCTATAATTTTGACATAATTACAGTTTTTTACCGTTTATTCGAAATCTGAGTACTAAACCGAGAATTAATAAATAAATCTAGAATGGATACCCTGATATGTACAAATATCATTTTCAGTTAATTTAAAGTAAATTATTGTAATATATTTAACGCAATAATAATTTTTGTATCATATAATCATTGAATTCGTTTACAAAATTACAAAAACGTTTTTAAGGAGGAATTTGAAAATAAATGTAATACAATAATAATATTATGAGTATAAATGTCTGTATTTAAATTTTAAGCCTTATTCTGATATTCTGGAAGGTCAAACATAGTTGATATAATTCGTGATTAAAAATAAGTACAGTATCACACAGTTGATATCGTTTTAAGAGTGTAGTAAGTTTAATTAAATGATGATACTGTCATACAGATATATCTGTGCGCAAAGGGAGGTTTTGGGGGGGGGGGTTCTAACTCCTCCCATGTTGAGGATCTTTTTACATCCATTTTTACTAAGAAATTTACTAAGAAGGAATGTGTGACTGATATAGATAAAATATTCTTACACATTTGATATTAATGTAAATAACATTGATTTTGTAAAAAGATTTTGAGTGAACGAGGGCGAATAGGTCTACTATGAATATATCTGTCTAAGGATAATTTACATTATTATTTTGGCATATGTAATATATATAGTGGTATATAAGTCCCCAATAATTACGATAAAATGGCATATATTCGTATGCGTAACCTTTGGATTTTATTCAATTAATTTAATATTTAAAATTAAATTTATAATTATGTAAATATAAATATCCACCTTGTATTTCAAGTTTTTACGATTGAAATATTTAAATAATAGAATTAATGTAAAATGGTTTAATCGATATTCATATAAATATTCGAATAACTCATCGAATTTCATTGAAATATCCGATTTTGTCAAAATTCTTTTATGTTTTTTTACAACTTTCTAGAAAACTCTTTTTTTTCGACTTCAAATAACAACTTATGAAAAATATAGTTAAATTTTCAAATCTTAATTATAAAAATTGGAAGCTTCATAAATTCGTAACTACAAAAATGTTGCACAGATTTTCATGATTTTTCTCGAGTTTTGTAAACATTTAAAATTCAAACGTTTATAAAAAAAAATTTGCCCTTAAGTACATCTAGAGTATTTAGATCATAAATATATTATAAACATTTTATTATTTTTTTGTACAACCATTGGTTTGAGTATGCTACATGAATATGAGTTAGTAACAGTGTTACGTTTGAGGAACGCCATTTTATGTTTATATATAGTTTAATATATAGTCTTCAAGTGTATTTTTGTTGCTGATTTATTGTGGAATTATTAAAATAAAAAATTCCTATTACTGTAATGTCGAAAAACAAAGGCAAATATATATATATAAATCGTATAAAAGATGTCAGTCTATTCTTTCGACGATAGACTAGACGCAGAACACTTGATTTGATTTCCTTTTTACACCGCGTCCAAAACGATTTTCTATCAAAAATATTTTATAAATGTAAAATGTAAATGTAATAATGTATAAATTTTATAAAACATTAACGTTTATTTTATTTTATGGAGGATTACGTCTTACACGTGGTCCGATATAGAGATGTTTTACTATACTATACAATTAAACCAGGGGCATAAATTGGGAGGTAGCAACTGGAACATTTGTCCCAGTCCGATATTAACTTGAATCTATAATCAGCACACTTAAAGAATATAATAATTCTTCAAAATGCCAATTCTATCAACAAATATTAATAGCAGGTCAGTTGACCTCTTGCAACGTCCCCATTCTGTATCCACCTCTACAGTCACTCCGTCTCACGTGCGAATATTTATCAAATTATACAAGATATCTAGAACGAATATTCTGTCACGGTTTGGGGCGAAGGCACGGGAAAAATCGAAAAGAATTGTAATCGCCGGGGTACTAGGAGACCAAGCCAATCAAGCAACTACACATGACATGTGTTTCAATATCGTCGTCCGGACGGCGCACCTAAAATCGCCACGACTGATGAACGAACGTGATCTCCTCACTACTCCAGTTGGTCAAATCTTTTTAAAGTTTTCATAATTTCAATAATTTTTGTATTATTATTTATTATTTATTAGTGTCAGGGCAATTTAAAATAGGAAAATAATTGTTGTCAATTCTAGGTAAGTATGTTACATTCTATATATAAGATATAATATTTCTATAATAAATAGGGACTCCCGTATCTTGTAATTCATTGGCAGTGACGAATAGCACGCGTTGAAACTTTTTTCATTAAAAAAATTTTTTTGCGATTAATTTACTTAAATATGATAAACCGAAGTTCTAAACTGTGTCGTTGGAATCGAAAAGTGTCACTAATTTGTACGCAATATATGAAGAAAACCGGCGACATTAGTATCTTAGTATCTAGGCGATTATAGAAATTAAATTATTAAAAAAAAAAATTTCCTAAATAAACGCAAGACATAAAATGTACTTTAATATAAAGCAAATGTAATTTAGTAATTATCAATGCATATCTTGGCAAGTAAAACTTTTGAAAATTTAAATTCGCATTTCGCATTATATTCGCAAAATTAGATTACCATAAAACATAAATATATTTATTATTTACGTTTTAGAAAAGAAAAAGGCCAGAAAATATTTTTAGTCTAATATTTTAGAAATTAACATAATACCATAAATAATTTACAATCTTTCATTAATTGTTCAATACTTATCACATAAGTATATAATTAAATTGTGATTGTGAATGCCAGGAGAGTTCCTAGAAATTTTTTTCGGGGGGGGGGGGGGGGGGGGGTTAATATTTTTTCTACCATGTATTCCAAATGTATTTATTTAAAAAACAATAATTTTAAAAATAATTCATTTTATAGTACTAGAAAGATCGTCAATGGATTATATAAAAACCCTGGCAAATGTTTATGATATTAAACTTAAATTGTATAAAACATGAAGCAATACTTTTATTCTAAATTCGTTAAAATTTAGGGGAGGTTTAAGCACCTAAAAATTTCCTTCTAGGCACATCCTTGGTGAAAGCATACTATTTATTTTAATATAATCCATAATGTTTATTTATTGTAGATACTTAATATATTTGATCACAATATTAAACATGATTTAAATTAAAAAATGTCTAGATTTCTAGAGTTAAAATTATATTTTGAATAAAAATAATGAAAAAATCTGTTTGCAAATCAAAAAAAAAAAGATAAAAACATATAAAGTATGTCACTAAATTTATGTACGTAAAAACCTAAACTAACATAACCCATATATATCACAATGTATTCAATATAGAGCAATAGCTAAATATATTTTATTGCACTAATATAATTCTTTAAATTACTTATATAAATTAATCTAAGAATACTTGTGCCCAAGATTTTGAGCAGTCAAACTAATTACAATTTGCAATCTAAATTTTAAAACTTAAAACACAAAATAAACACTAACATTACTAGCTAAATTAAATGTATTCAAAATAAGTCAGTATTATATAAGTGCCAACTATATTATTTTTGGTAAAAAAAACAAGAATATTTACTAGGTATAATATGATAATTGCAATAAATATAAGTACAATATATAAAAAAAATAAGTAATGTAAAAAAATTCCAATTAAAATAAAAATCATTGATTTTGGAAAAAAGATGATTTTAAATCATAAATAGCATAATATTTCAAGTTGCTTTGCTTATATATTAATAAAATGTTGAATTAATAACACAAAAATTATAATAAATATTCACTAATTTCAAATAAAATATAATAAATCTGTAAAAACAATCAATTTAACAATAAAAATAGAAAAAAAATTTGAAATAAATAAAATAAAAATCCATTAATAAAGTACACAATGTTATTCTACTCATATAATTTAATTATCATCTTTAGAAAAATTAATTTAAAATTTATAAAATTTTGAATAGAAATAAATAAAATGAATATCACAATAATTTTTTCAGTATTTATTGTTCCTATCAGTAAGTTTTATTACTATTTTATAAACAATAGTATATCAGCTTGAAAGGAATGTAAATTAAAAATAGCTCTAATTAAGTCCATGAAAATGAGAAACGATTAAGATGTGTTAGGAATTAAAGTATTTAGTTTAAAATGTATTCATAACTTAATTAGTTAACTAAAGTTAATTAAAATGATGATAATATGGTATGAATAAAAATAATTCTTTAGGAAAATAATATAATACTATCTTGTTTTACAAAAAGAATCAATGATTAAATACAGGCAATATTGATTGAAATGCAATATTTATATACCTAATAAATATATAACTGGTAAATGTCAATGTTAGTCAGTTGTATGTACTTTATAATTATGTTTATAGTACATTAATGTATTTTTTTAAAAGACAATTTACTGTTATATAACTAATATTATAAATAATTAACAAAGCAATTAAACCAATTAAATTTAATAGATATCAAAGAATAAAAAATATTTACTATATATATATATATATATGCATATGCAAATGAAACGGGCAAGATTTAAATTATAGGAGTTTCAAATAAAAATTGGACATTTGTATCGATATGTTGTAATGAATATAACTTTTTTAATTTTTGAACTTTTTTATATCATTTAGTTTTGAATTTTTGTATTGAATAGCAATAATTGTTGATACGGTATTATTTGCTAATCATTGAAAAATTAATGAATTTACTTCAAATCTTTCAGATGAAAATATTAACAAGAGCTATAACATTACAATCATATTATACAAGAGCTACAATAATGCATAACCTTAAATGACCAGCCTCTGCTATGCTACCTCCTTTTGCTAAGATTTAATCTTTATATGGAGATACACAAAAACTTATACACTATTTAAGTATTGCAAATACAAAATATACAAAGTTTACGATTTCATAATCAACCAAATAGTGCCAAGTCTCAGATCTCTTAAATTTTAAAGCAAATATTATTTACAGAACACAATAAGATATTAAACTTATTTCAATCTCTGTGTCTATGTTAATGAACAAAAGTTATGTGGCAGTAGGAAATCTTAGTGACGAAATGTACCAGAAATCATTGGACAGTGGAGTCATCCCTGTAGGCAGGTATGAGTGTCTCCTTTAGACCTATCAGTCTTTTAAGTGTATCATAAAGAAATGTATACAAAATTAATAGTATTAAAATTGACCGTTTCATTGGCTAACTAGTATATATATTTATAAACATAAATGAATATACTTTGAATTAACCCAGCTTTAATTGTATAATTTCCTTTCATTATATTCCATTCTTTAAAATACACCCAAAAAATGTGTATAGTTATCTTAATTTAATAACAACTATGATATTGTTTGTTTATAAAATAAACATTTTAAAAGCATTAACTAGGTTTTTATGTTCTCGGCTTTAAAAACTCAATTATTTTAAGCTTTTTGAACAAATAATATTGTAAAACTTGTTAGTTAGTTTAAAAAGTGTCTTTTGTGTCCATAATATATGTTACAGTAGTGGAATATCTTGTAGTGTCTCATGAATCGGTTGCTTTTGTGATAATTTGTCTTGTCATTGTAGACAAACAGAAGTTTCTATTGTGGTTTAGTGGGTTTAATAAATTGTATGTTTTTTTGTGGTATTTACTGTCCTGAAATCATAAATGAAACAAATTGTAAACTGGCCAACAATTAGTTTTGAACACACAGTTATTTAGTTATTGTAATGATTACCATCAATACCAGTTGTGTATATTATTAATATACTGTTAGTTGAAACTTAATGTTTACATTTAATTTAGTACTTTATAAAAAAACTTTGTATGTATATATATACATATAAATTTACCTGTTCATGATAATACATTAATAGTTGTAATCTAAATTTATTTTATAAACATGTATCATAATAATATTTAAAATAACAATTAATAAGTAATGATTCATAGAGAATAATTTAAAATAAAAACATTTTATTATTTTTTTTCTTTAATGTACTGTATATTATACATATTTAAAAGTTATAACTGAAATTTGGATTTTTCGATTTTACATTTTAATTTTTAGTGTATGCAGTTAAAGGGAGAAGATATTATTACAGTTCACAAAATATAGAATTCATAGGAGTATTATATTTTAGGAGTTAGAGAAAATTTTGATTATTGTGATATCAGAATAATGAAATTATTTCATGAATATCGGCATTTTGAAGATATTCATCATTAAATACATTATTTTTTGAAAGAGTTATTTTTATATTCTTCTGGGTTCTAATTAAAATTAAATATAAGATATTTCTTATCGATGGCGATAGCATGTTAGTTATTTCATTAGACATTGTGGTGCATGTTAATATTCTAGTTTAAAATAAACATTTCTTAAACATCAATGATTTTTCATAAATACATCAAATACATCGAATATCGACGTTCAAACAATTTTGCCCATACCTAATAACTATACATAAAAACCACACATTGCTAAAAATTTAAATAATATTATTTATTTTAAAAACCCAATAAGATTAAAAACTTAAATTATAGTCAGTACATTACTAATTAAACTCAAAATTAGTAATAAATACTTCTAAACTTATTTTAACGAACTAAAATTTTCCACTACGGAATAACATAAGTCAGGGGTCTCCAGTCTTTTTTTAATGGGAGGACAAATTAAAGATACGCTTTGGCATCCCAGGCCAAAATTATTAGTGAAATAGAAAGGTAATGAAGCTGAAGACTAGATAAGAATATATAAGATTAATTTAGATTTTAGAAAAATTTATATTTATTTTAATTTTTATAATTCAAAATTTGTTTTATTAAGATAAGAGTAAGTTACTTAATGAGAGGTTTGGAATTTATTGTATTTATAAAATTTTAAAATTTGCTTCAAACTTTATTGTTCTAACCAACAGCTTGTAAATTGTAAAAGTTAGTTCTATACTAAGTTTTGACGTATTTTATTTTTGAAAACATCTGTTAACATAAGTGTAGCTAAATATTAATATAATTTCATGTTATAATATTAACAAAATATCTGTTAAATGGGCAGACCGGCTTAAAAGCTTGATGGGCCAAAATTAACCTGTAGGTTGTACGTTGGAGACCCCTGTCATAATTCATAAGTATTACTCTAAAATATAAAGTTCATGAAATGAAGAGTACATCATTATAACAAAAAATCTAATGCAATGCTTCTCAAACTTTTTTGTCATGAGGCTCCTTCATCAAAATCATTGTTTCTTTTTTCTTAATTATACATTAAAATTGCATGTACCATTTTATACGGAATAACTATTAATAAGTATAGTAAATTAATGTTTATTAATATATTTTTGAAAAAATGTTATCATAATATTAAACTTTATACATGTATAAATAAATAAAAATAGATTAAAGCCTAAAGAAAATAATTTATGGGGGCCACAGCTCCCAATTTAAGAAGCATTGCTATGGTAGCTCCATAGAAAGATTGATAAGACCTATAATTAAAGCTAAGTATTTTAAAGCTGATTCAATTGAATGTTAAGTAAAGTAAAATTTACTATTGAGAAATGTGTATAATGTACTTACACTTCATTAATTATTACTAAGAAGACAACTGTACTTCACCTCCAAATGGCTTTAACATAATGTAATTTCTAAATTTAATTTTAAAAATCAGCTACCATAAAAGAAACTACTATAATTCATTAATTAACTTTATTTATATTCACCTTAAGACCAAATTAAACTTTTGACTCATAAAAATATATCAAATCAAAGCATAACAATAAGACTAAAATCTGGATATTATAAATATAATTCTCAAAATATTTTACTTAAAAAGTATTAATAGAAGAGTAAATAATACATTAAAAATACATGTTATATAAAAATTGATTAATTATGATCTATTTTGTAATACTATAACTTGCCCCATTGTATTTTAACATTTAAATAATTAAAAATTAGCAGCTAAATTATATTAAAATTAAAAATGTAACAAACTATACTTAAATTTGGCATAAATAATTTATAAAAAAATTAATATAAAATCACAAATATTTATAAAAATATCTATAATAATTTAAAACACAGTTTTAAATAAAAGATCATTGTGAATATAGCATCAACCATAAAAATATATTTGGATCTACCACTCCATCTGAGTAAATAAAAGTTGAATGAATAATTCTTAAATTGCATAGTGAAGATGACCAATGCTCTATATTTATACAATTATATGAGTAATTGCAATATTAATTTTAATGAGTACACAATTTTAAATTTGTATACTACATTAAAATAATATTTTTCATCATCATAAAGAGATACTAAAATATTCTTAATTTTAAGATAAACATTGATTTAGTTTACTAATTTATCCAGAAAAACAAATTGAAGAAGGACCATAATTCCAAAAATAAATTGTACTTGAAGAAAAAAATCATAAATATTATAACTTTCTCAAAATAAAACCTTCAGTATATAGTAAAATTAAGTAAATCATTTTAGGTATAATTTAAATACTTTCAATTAAATAATACTGAAAGAAAATAGATTTCTTTTATACAAATTATATAATTTGAAAATATAACTTTTATTTTTATTAGTCTCATAGATATGACCAAGAAATATCTCTCACCAAATAATATTATTTTAAATAAATTATAAAATTAATAGAACTTACTTTACTTTTTACAAAGTATCAGGTTTCATTCGTTTACGATTTGGTTCTCTGGGTTCAGCTTCCATTACTTTCAGGCGACTGTTGTATACTTTATGGTCATTTAAACACTTAAAACATTAAATTCAAGATTAAAAAATTTTTTAAAAACCAACTTTAATATATATTTGTATTACATTAATAGCTCGTGCTGCACTTTCCATACTGTCATATGTAACATATCCATAATTTTTACCATCAATCACATTAATATTTCTTAAACCTTTAAACATTTTGAAAGTATCTTCTAATAATCGCATTGGTGGAATAACAGGTTTACATACAAAAAATAACCTAAATGCAACAAAAATAAATATAATATGCATAAAAAAACAAAAAATTAATAAAACTATCAACTTTACCTGTATGAATTATCTGTTGATGGCAAAAGAACTTTTTCATTTCCTCTTTTTGCTGCTAGGGGTGAAGTAAAATCATCCGCCAAAGCAAAAGACGCTAAATAAAATATTATAAATTATAAGACATGTCTTCATATAATAATAATTTTTTTTTTACCAGTTGTAGCACTTGCATTCTTAATCACAGCTAATGCTCTTGTGACAGTACTAGATAGCACTTCTATATCTTTTGATATTTTATTTGCTACTAAAGGATCGACAGCTGATGAAATAGATCTATAATTAAATGTTATACTTGATTAAATTAACATCATATTACTTATACAATCTTATGATATTAAGATGAATAATAAAAAAGTAAAAATTGTTTATAATGAAATGGTTATATGAAACTAATAATGATAAAATGGGCAAATTCAATAACCTAATTTTGAAAAATAATATATATTTTAAGAAACATAAATAGTTGGTATCTGTGACAATAACATTAAAATATAAATATATTGCATGTATTTAATATCAAACAAATTTTATTAACATTTTATAACAATAAAATCAATATCACTAGCTGGTAAGGCATTTTTATTGTATTTAAATATTTAAAAATATAATTTATTTTTATTTTTATAAATATTTATCTATGTGATACAATAATATTGTCAATATGTACAGAGTAGAAATATCACAACTATTTAAGTTATGATAATTATGTATTTTTTTTTCTTGATTAGTTATAATGGAATCAATTGCATTATCAGTTAAACACATTTATTTATCATGATTATGACCTATTAATTTTATTTGTTAAATAAAATTATAAAATATCTTTATAGTACATAAAATATAAATAAATAAAGGCTTACAAAGTAGAACTACTAAATTCTAGTATTATTGGATGTCCAGGTGGGTATTCAAATCCATTAATCCGATTAACAGCATGTTCAGCTGCTGCAGTTGTATTATAAATAACTTGAAATACTTTTTTATCATATACTTGCTGTTTCAAAATTAAATTAAAATACACTTTTTACACATAAATAATATAATGAACTTCCAATTAGCACTTGTTTATTATGTTATGGGCTTTAATGCAAAACCAGTTTGTTAGTTATATAAATGACAGGATTAATAAAGTGTTAACTGTAAGTAATTAAAAAATAATTCAACAAATAGATTATTATTATTCAAGTGTTCATTCTCTATGTTCAGAGTTTATTATATTAAACAAGTGCCAAAAAATCTGTGTATAGATTAAAATGCAATTTTTTAATTACTTGTCTTGGTAATTCCTTAACTAATTCCAATTCAGGAGCAATATTCATAATTTTATAAAGTTCATTATAAGTAACAATTGGTGATGTATAAGCAGTTAATACACTAGGTTCATCATGGCGTGTATGAGATGGTGGTGCAAGTAATGCATAACTACTAGTTGGATCTAAAAATTTTTTTTTTTTAAATATTATAATATTGTATAATTTGAAATTATTAAAAATTTAGAGATTAATAAAAATAAAAATAAACATACTCTTAGAGTCAATATGTCTGGAATAAGATTGAGGATAAACAGATGGGCCATCATCATGTTTTGGCTTAGCAAACACAGCTTTATAATTTGGTCCACATTCTTCAATAGCTAAAGCAGCAGATGAAGGCCTACAAATAGTATTATAAAAAAGTATAAGCTTCCAATTCTATTAGTTTTAAATGATAATATTGTTTACTTAGTGAAAGTTATGAAAGCTATTCCTTTTGATTCTCCAGTTTCTTTATTTGTGACAATATGAACTTTAGATACTTCTCCATATTGACTGAAAATATTTTCTAAATCTGTTTCCTTATCAGTTTTTGGTACAAATACAAATAATCTATTATATTCAATTTCTGAATTATTTCGTATATGACCAGGACTGTTAAATAATAACAATATACATTTTAGAGATTTCTTTATGTTAATTAAATATATTTTCCAAATCTATTTCCTTATCATTAAAAACATTAAAAAAAATTAAGGATCATATTATATTTAATAAGTAATTATAAAGGAATTATCAAGTTTTACCAGACTTTAAAATAATAATATTTAGTTATTTATTGTTACCATACCTAGTAGCCATCAGAACTTTCATACGACGATTTGACGATTCTATTTTATGCCCATTCATTGCTTCAATAGCTTTGAAAGCTTCTGATGCTTTTGAATACTTTATGTATGCAACACCTATAGATAAAAAAATACTGGTACAATATAAAGGTAAAATCAAATAATATAGTTTAAAAGAAATGGAATATTAATAAATTAATTTTAATTTAAAAAATATAAAAATGAAAGAATTAAAATCACTATAGAAAATAAATTATACATTTTAAAAAAAACATACATTTTTTTTTATGTAAATGAAATTGGTAACTAACATGTAACAATAATGACATGTTGCTGATTCAAAATGATTAAATATATAAATTACAATACCTTTAACGCTATCGTTATTGCGATCTTTCACAATATAAATATTTCGTACGGTACCAAAATTTCCAAACATTTCTTTAAACTCAACTTCAGGTATAGGGTGATTTTTGTCATACAATACAAATATTCTAGAATTTTCTGGCTCATTAAGGTCATTCTGTTCATCCTTCATTTTAAAAAATGACTGATTGATAAATTTGGTATAATTAAAAAAAAATGTTTAGATCTGAGATCAAAAATATTTATTTATATTTTATTTAATAACAAATTTTATAAGTCAAATATTTTATGTGGCGTCTTTTATCACTAATCACTACAATCTGTTAAATCAGTATGGCCAAATAAAGCACATCAAATATGAACAGTCAACAATATAATTAGAAACATTTTGCAGTATCTAAAAGAACTTTTAATTTTCTCCGAAATGTATTAGACATTTGGACATTTGGAAATTAGAATAAAACAATTGTATTAAACTAAATAATTAAAATTTCAAAATTCTATGATGAAAACCTTCTGTGTTATAATTATTTTTAAATTTTTACTTATTAATAATATATGGTAAATCATGACAAAATACATTTTATTACATATAAATACACATATTTTAAAACAATTTATCATTTATAATGAACTTATTTTATTATTATTATTATTTATGCCTAAATCAATAATATACAGACTCCGTATTAAAGATTTTTTTTCCGGCTTTACGTTCCATTGATGAACTTTACCGTTATAACTATCTTCTCCCTTTTATCTATCATATGCTATATTTTGCCAGTCTGTTCCTATTTTTTGAGCTACCTCATTCCATATGTACCATAATTTAATAACTTTGTGTAAAAGGATATATATTTGTACAAAAAATATAAAGTTAAATCGTGTTTTTTTTTTTTTTTAATTTTAGGTTGCACCTATTCATTTTAACTTGGTATTATTGACCGCTTTAAGATTTTCAATTTCTATTACCTACCTATAATGATTTATACTAATGGTATACTAATATAATGATTTATACTATCTAATTAAATACACAAATACAATAAGACTTTATTTAAAAAATAAAATATAATTTATATAAAATTTAATAAAATAATCGTAAGCAATTATAATCCGAAATAAAGTTTTTTCGCATATATTTTGTAAAATAATTAAAATTTTACAATATATAATATTGTTAATTTTATAAAAAATTGTACGTGTTACTAATAATTAAGTTTACTTATTATAATAAAATGCACATTAAGCTTTACCTAATATTGGAAATATGCAGATAACATCATCAATTGAAATTGATTTCTTATTACGTTGACGTCATAATATTTATTGTTTGATGTACCTATAGCCTTCGGGTATCTACTTAGAACATCATGCACCAAAATATTGTAAACTAAACCATCTCATTATTGAAAATTCTGAATGAAAATGTATAAAAACTTGATCAATCTTATTCTCAAATTTTATATCCTAAAATGTGTAACAAATTCATAAAATGCCAAAAATTGCAGAATAATTTTATAAAATCTATCCATTACTTGCAACAACAATATATTTTAATTACGTGTTAATTTTACTTTTAAGGTTGATTTTCTTTTGATTTTAACATTAGGAAAAATATAATTTTATTGTTTATTTAAAAATAGTTTTTAATCATAAATCACGTTCATCCGATTAAGTAGCCATAGTCATCATAAACCAACACCCATGTTATTATTGGTTTATTGAAAATAAAAAATAATTATCATGAAAGTTTAGGACACCGTTCGTCCTAGAGATATATTACGTAACTATAATATCAATAGTTTAAAATAAATTTACACTCTTGCAGTAAAAAAATATGCAAATGAGTAATGAATAAAAGTTTCTAAGTAAAATAACACTAGATAACCTAAATCCTACGTATTTTTTATCAAAAATGAAATTAATTAAAATTAATATGGCATTTAAAAAATATACAAAATCCAGAAATTTCATTCTTTACTTATGAAATGCTGTAAAATATTTGTTTAATACTTATAAAGAACCACATATAAATATTATTAGTTCACTTTATTACTCTCAAATCAGTATTGTACATCGATGATGTATCACATATTATATTTGCATTAAATTCGACTTTCAAATGTATCAAATTTTATAATAGACATAGGTAGGTAAATATAAATTTTTATTACATTTTATGAGTTGTAAGTTCATTGGAAGTTGTTAGTTTCACAAATTATTTTATATAACAGAGTATTTTATACATAAATACATAATAGCTAAATGTTTAATCAATATGTATATAGGTGTGTTAAAATTATGTAAAAATATGAAATAATTCAGAAGTATAAGACAGCGGTTCCTAAACTGTGTACCGTGGTGCCCTAGGGGTACCCCGAACACTTTCTAAGGGCACCGTGGTCTACGGTACATAACAAATAGTTTAAAATGTTTAGATTTTTTTTCCTTATTGTTTTCGTAAAAACTTTATAGCAAATAATGAAATATTTTCTTTTGTATATTCGGACATTCTCATTTTAATCTTATAATATTTTTATGTAATAATCATAATAATGATAAAAATAATTTTATTTATTTAATTTTTAGGTTTAAAAATTCATTAATTTATAATTAAGTTAAATTTTAATAAAATTAATAAAATTAGTTATCAATGAATATTTTTTTTATCTTTTTATGTTATTCATAGCAGGACACCATGGCTAAATTGAGTCTAAAAAAAGGCACCGCGGAAAAAAAAGTTTGGGAACCGCTGGTATATCTTATAGACATACTTTAATATGAATATTGGATTATTGGATTTTAATATATTTTATAATATGGAATTATCTTATTGTACACATAAAATTAAAATCAAATAGGTTTTATATGATTAGAAAGATCAAAGTTTAATAAGTTAAAGAAAAGCTATTACTAAAATTTGATGATAGGTCGTCATACATGCAAATAATGTGTGTAAGATAAAAATAATATAAAACTTGTAGATAACTAAATTTTAAATCCTCTCATAATTGAAACATTACATATTATAATTGTTAACTCATAAGAACTAATAAACATACAAATAAAGATAACTAGTAACGACAATGGACAATTAATACAGTTTACCATCATCGTATATCGTATTATTAATTCAAAATATATTAGTTGTATGTACAAAAAATATAAAACCTATTTAACACTATGACAGAAACTTTCAAGATCTTGCTTATTAAACAATTATGTTCTCTAATAGTGTTTGTTTGGTTGTCAAACAATTATTGACGAATAGATGACTTAAATTATAACTTTGCTACGTACTTATTCTATGTGGATATTAATTGATAATTAAGTATTGTATATTGTACGTTAGGTATTTAGATAAATAACTCCCAACTACTTTTGTGACGCATTTACTTTACTTTAACGTTTACATAAATGAGATTACTAATTGCTCTTACTTTCATTGTTTTGTGCAAATTACGTCCATATTATCATAATAAAAAATACCACTGTTTCATATAAATAATTTTGTGTGAAAAGCTTATAGTAGCAAATAGAAAACGTTTTAAATGTAGAAAAACGTAAATGCATAGTTAATTAAAGTAAATTATATCACTGTTTTTAATGAAAAGGAACTTAATTTATAAATATATTATAAGCATATTCTTTTTTAGTAGCTGTCAATCATAGCTAACAATAAAACTACAAACATAGATTAAACTATAAATTAATCACTCTGTATAACTGCAAGTAAACAATTTTTTTTTTTAATGATGATAATATCATTTCGAAGTATTTTACATGAGATAAAAATAATGAATAACTAAATCTAATTTTTAGATACAAATACGGCAATACCAATGTAATGCTTATAATTTTTAACTGAAATTGGATATGAATATGATTTAGCTGATTAAGCTAAATTGTATTAATTTAATAATTTATATTTAATATTGTTATCTGTATATCTAAGTATAATTATGCATATAATTAATGTCATATTATTTTGTCATCGTTTTACGAATGCTCCATAATTTCTAGAATAATAGCATAACGTATTTATACATTTTAATTTCTAAGCCTAACATAGATTTGTTAAATGTATGTGCTTTATTTAGTTTATTTGAATTCCCCATTCATACCAAAGAATTTAAAATAAAATTATTTATTTAACAATTTTATATTAAATCAACAAATATTTAAAAGTCATAACAGTTAAATAATACTTTTTGTGATATTTTTTAAATAACAATTACCTTTTCTAAATTACAATGAAATATTTTTTTTTTTTTATATAATTTACAAATAAAAAAAAAAAAATATTTCATTGTAATTTAGAAAAGGTAATTGTTATTATAATTATAATAATTGTAATTTGTTACAATGAAATATAAAAAAAAATTGTATGATATAGATTAAAACTATTAAAAATTAAAAATAAACACAACAGTTTCACGCAGCTTATAAAACTATCTGTTACTGTTAAATATTACTAGGTAATAATTATAAATATAGTAATAATAAAATAATAAATAAAATATAGTAATAAAGTCATCGTTTATAATTATTTTTTTAAATAATAAAATAGAAAATGTATGTATTTTAGTCAGTCGGATTGTATTGTATTGTATTTATAAACACAAATTTGAGTCACTGTAAACAAGTATTCTGTTTATTTCAAGATAATAGGATAATAATTTATTTTGCATTAAATATGTGATTATAAATTTTAAATCATGAAGATATTTGTGTGTATATAGTATAAATATAGTTTGAATATAAAAAAAGGATTAATTAACTCCATGCTCCCATTAACCCACTTAAATACGCATGCCATTAAATTACGTCATATATTTTAAAGCTCAAACAACTTATTAGTAAAGTATAAAGATATACGGTCATATTTGGAGATAAGTAAATATCTTATAAAAACATTTTAAATATCAGTTAAATATATATTATTATTTATCATAATTAATGAATTGAAAATCAAAGTATATTTATCTGGTTATTTTTAATTAATTATTAACTTAAGAAATAACTATGATTGTTTCATATGTAAAAATATTAAAATATGTTATAGTAACTGAAGCAAATTTACAATTAACAAAAATTATATTAATAATAAGTACCTCTTCCATGAAAATTTAGTAAATCTCATTATTTTAAAATATCTATAATATTTTACATTTGAAACTATGAACTTCGATTTAAATTGTCTGTTATTGTGTTATATTTAAATAATAATGCTAATTTGAGCGTTTAAGAATAGTTGTATCTAATTAAATTCAATTTACCATTCGTAAATTGGTTTACCGTTCGACTAAATTAAAATAATTAATAACCATACAATACAATTTGTATAAACAACCATTTAATCGTATTCTTTCATAAATATAAACAAAATTAAAATTTTGGGTTATAATATTCGTAATAAAAAATCTAAGTAATACCTTGAATAATATAATAAATGATTAAATAAATAGTTGATAAATCGATTTGTTTAATGGATTTATTTGATATAATTTAATTTTGACTTTATAAATAAATATTATTTTAAAGAAATACTCTTAAGGTGTAAGTAATTTTAAAGATATAACTGATAATTTTTAAAAAAAAAAATCTTCATATTAGTCCTACATACAATTTTTGATATAATAAAACTTAATAATAATATAAAATTAATATACTCATATATTTTGAACAAATAGTTTACTCTAATACAAAGAAGAAATATTTCTTTATTTGCAATATTTATATTGTTTTTAATATTCACCGACATAAGTATTTAATGAACTGAAACTTTAACGTAGTAAACTAAATATACGTATGTTATTTATTTTAATATTCATTATTAATATATAATTATATAATTCAAGTTTTTCAAAGAATTTTACACTTTTTACTTAAGTTTTATTTTAAATTTTTATTATTATTGTTTTAATTTTTGAAAACAGTGTAATAAATATGCATTCCATGTTTCTTTTATCTTATACCTAAAAATGAAATTATTACTACATATATATAATTTTATATTTTCAATAAAAAGATAATAAAACAGATAAAAATTTAATTTTGACCATTTTATACTGATTATTAAAAAAAAAGTTATGATGACACCCTTCCTCCCAAATTGTTTGTAAATACATCACTTATGTCATAATTGCTAAATTAGAGTAGTTAAACACTAAATTTATCAAATTCAATAGTTTAAGATGTTTCAAGTGATAAATATTAAAATTAATAATCGTAAATCTTTCCAAAACATTTAAATTTTATATTGTATTCAGTATACTCTGATAATTCAATTCAAATTCAAATTATAATAAAAAATTTAAATCGCAGTAAAAATTAAGTGTAAAAATTATAAGTAAAGTAATTTACTATATTATTTATTAATAAATTTAAAAAATTCAAAATTATACTAATTCTGTTGTTCCGAGTGTTAGTTTTATATAATTTTGGTAGCATTTATTTGTTTATATTTTATCGCAATAATAAATCGTCTTTCATTCGAAAACGATTTTGAGCAAAGGTAAGAAGATAAATGTATAAGATCTTAGTAAATTGCCAATATAGAGGCAAATAATTAGTGATACCATAATAAGAACTCTAATCGTTATACCTTATAACAACTTGAAACTCTAGGTAAATTAGTTATTATCAATTTTTCTTTCAATTTTCAAGTAATGAAGACCAACTAATTTATATATTATGAATAATGACAAACAGGATATATAATAACTATATACAGTCTTACATGATTGTTGGCTTATACGCAGAATGATAATTTGGTGGATTTATAAATTTCCAATAATTTTCATTTTTCTGAAATAATTATTTATGTAAAAAATTCAGCAATAAAGTGTTTGTATTCTGCATAGTATTTTGAGTTATGACAAGAAAAAATAAGTGCCTTAAAATACTTTTTAACTGTCTTATTTGTTTTTCCGATGCGAAGGATAACATTTCTGAAATAATACTAACCTTATCACAATTAGCTTTTATATTTTTGAACAATTTAAATAATTTTTCGTTTTATGACTATGAAATAGTTTGCAATGTTACCATAAGTATGTATACATAGTTATAAAATTATATTTGATTTTACATGTATTTTTTTTTTTTTTTGTTACAACTTATTTAGTATGCCTGAACTAATGATTTCCATAATTATTGATATTTTTCATTTATATAATTACATTATAAGTATGACTTTCATAACATTCGGTTTTAATTTGACTTGTTATTCGCATGCGCATTGCGATATCGTGAAATTTTTACTTATTAATCAATACAAACAAATAGGCTAAATATCAAAATCATTATATTAAGGATTTATCCAGTTTTTATTTTATAAAAAAAGTAAAGAGATAATTAAGAAGTGATGTATTAAAATTACCAATCAGGATTTATTTCTGATATAAATGCATGACTGATAAAGAAATTATTGGTGCAGATTCACTTTTTGAAAAGTGATTGCAAATAAAAAAGGAAAATAATAATGCATTACTGTAAAACTAAATTGTTCTGTTTAGAATAAAAATAAATTATGCAATACATAGAATATTTAATTATTGTTTACTTGTACTTTATTGTAATTCATATTAAATTTTAAGTTTATTTACTAATTTTATGTATTACATTTGTAACATGTTCACAGTAAAGTTTAATTTTTTGGTATAATTTTAATTCATATCAAATAATACGATAGTTTATATTACAGTTAATCATATAAAATGTTTTTTTCTATAACAAAACAAAGAAAGTTAAATTTTTTATTTTCAATTTTCGTATACATAATTAAATAATAAATATATATTGTACACTATACCTGAGGGCTTTATTAAAATTTGTGTGTATATGAATTATAAAATGAAATTTAAGTAAATATAACTAAAGCTGGGAGGAGTCCATAAAAAATTGATTTTTGAAATCCAAATCCAATGACTTCATACAAATTATTTTAAAAATCTTAAATTCAAATCCTTAATAAATACGTTTTGAAAGTACAAATCTAAAATTTTTAAAATCTAAATAAATAATATTCTTTTCATAGAAAATTTTCTTGATTTAACATTAAAAAAAAAATGTATAGTTTAAATAGATAATTAGATAATTTTTATTTAATTTCATAGTAATTTTATTTTTCATATTTTAAGGATATTAAAATATGTTTGATGTAATACTCAATTTAATTTTAAAATAGACTGTTGTACTTTAGTCTCAATGCATAAATATTAAAAATATTATACCTTTTGATGGTAACCGGCTGCTGTTACCATTATCACATATTTTATTTTATCAATTGACCCGAAACTCAAAATAATTACAATGATTTTACCAAATAAAATTAAAACCCTATTTAAATTATTTTTAAAATTAAAAAAAAAAATCGAGACATGTATAGTACTGATTAAAACATATAAAAAAATATTAATTTATGCTTTTCATAAGCTGAATAAGTATATTCTTAAAATATTTCTAATGTAATTAAAAAATGATTTCATCAAATACAGTGTAATAAAACAAAGTATATTATTCTAATAATAACTGTTTGATGCCAAGTAATTTTATAAAAATAATATAAACCTACGCAAAATAACACATGGTATGTATAATAGTAAATACTAACATTAAATTCTGCATAAATATAGTCATGTATGTATTTTAAAACTATGTATTTGCCTTAAGTGTTTCACATATAACACCATAGATTAATATGGATATGTGTTAAATTTGCACACACGTGTAGAAGTTGAAAACAACTAATATAAGTATGATATGTTATTGATTAATTACACGTATTTTATTTAAATCTCGGTTTAATTTTTAATTCAATAAAGGTTTGAGTATATTTGGAAATATAATAAAAATAAAGATTGTACGTCATGTATATTATTAATTACATTACATAATATAGCCAAAAATAAAATAATTTTATCAACATTTTTTTAGAAAGTGAAAAATGTTGATGATTGCAATAATATTCTACCTAGTTTATTAGACTTGAACTAATATTTTTATTATTTGCAAGACATTTCAATTACTTTATTTTTAACCAAAATGCAAGAAATAATTTTTCAAGGTATTTTTATTTTTATGTAAAGTCCAGTAAAATTATTGATACTCATCGATTCATGTTAAATATACCTATATTACTAAATAAAATGAAATTTTATAACTTAAATATAATTTAAATATCTAAAATAAAAATGTTCACAGCAATATTTTCAAATTTCTATTTAAAAAATGATAATATGTTGTTATATTTATAATTTAATTAATATATTAAAACATATGCTTTTATCCGTTTGTACTTTATCTATTGTTTTGTATGCGTCATCAATGCTTCAGCGCCTGACTACTGTTTTATAAATGAAATGTTTAATCTACAAGTGGTTCTTCTCTTGACAGGACGCAGCTAGCAACTACCTGACAGTCGACGTTTTCACGTTCACAGTAACACATCAACACAACACAGCGTGAGTACTGCAAAATCATATGCTTAGTATACATTTATACTTATCTTAGAAATATTTGTTAGCACTTAAATTTGAATGTGTATTTCGTCAATATACCTACATATATGAGTTTCAACAATTTTTGAAAATGTTTTGATCTTCTAATAAATAAATAGTAATTAGGTATTATTTGTATTATTGTGGATATTTTAGTTTTTATTAATACATTATGAACGTTTGAGAACATACAAGATACTTAGTTTTAAATTTCCAATAACATAAGATAAACATTAATGCAATAACTATTTGTCTTTTTCAATGTATGATATTAATAGAATTATATTGTTTTGGCATTTAGCCAGGAATTATATCGTATAGTCACTCACTTATTCTGTGTTCGTTTTTTCTGTTCAATTTGCTCAAGAGTATAATTTTTTTGTTTTGATCTTTTAAAATAAAATACTCAGTACATGCTTGGATATTTATTAAGAATACTCTGGGATTGATAAACTTAAACAAAAAAAATAGTTATTGAAATTGCATTTAAGTAAAATAATATGTATTAACTTTTAGCATTAGGTTTATGATATTAGTACTTTATTTACTTAAAATTCTCGAAGCAATATTATGATATTTGATATAAATTAATATCGATGTGTTTTTTGAATACACAATTCCATATATGTTATATAAATTTACTAAAAATGTAAATAAAAGATCATTTTATTTTAACATTGTGCAGAATAAAAATTATAATTAATTTATTTTTATTGCACATTATCAGAACCGTCCTTAGGATTTTTGGGGTCTGGGGTAAATTATTTCGGACGCATTTCAATCATTAAAATAATATACGAGTACGATTTAAAAAATACACATCAAACTTGCAAAGTGTTAGCAAATATAGTTTTCTAAACTTCAATAAATCAAGGTCATTTAAATGTATCGATAAAATGAATTAAGTTTTTAATAACTTCTCAATAATGTATCACCAGTTACCACGTTTAATAAACATTTAATTTACTCCTAGATAATTTCTAAACAACCATTAGAAAATAAGAATTGAATGTTGTAGCGTCGATTATGTCATTCTTTACACTCCGACAATAACCATAATAAATTACAGTTATAAATAATTAGAAATTAGAATAACTGACAATTTAGCCTGTACAATAGTGCTTAAATTTAAATTTAAGTTAATTTTATTTAATTAAATTTATTCATATTTTATAAAGAAAATGAGTTTAGAAATAATATACTAATATCAATAATTTATAATGGGTAATTCCGTGTATTTATAATCAATCTGGAATTTCAAGGAGCCTTTTTAAATTTTCCTAAACTGGAGAAAAATGTTTCCATTGTTTCCCCCCCTTTCTGACAACGGCCTTAAACATTATTGTCTTTTCAAGTTTCAATTATTAATTTTGTTTTAGTCAATTTTTGTTTACAAGATTAATATACTATTATACTTAAATTTAAAGAGTTTTCCCAAACAGTAAAATATTACAATATAAGATATTATTATTTAACATATTTATGAATAAATTATAATAGGTAATACCAATTATTGTCTCCATATTCATATCTTCAATATTATTAATTATTTGAGTGATATTCAGTTCATTGATAATATAAAAGTGATATTAAGATTTTAGATATAATTTTAGAATTATAGTTTTCAAGGCAACAAAAAATCAAAAATGTTTTTACAGTTATAAATTGAAATTTTGAAAATTCGTACTATAAGAATTTCTATTATAATAAATGAAAATTAATAATTAATCAATCAGTCTAATAGTTTGTTATGACGTTGAACAAATTTATTTTGATTTAAACCGAACTAACTATTAATTCTTTTCAATTATTAGTCTATTATAAGAATATTTAATAATTAGAATTATAAACTTTGATTACGATTTACAACATATTAAAAATAATTGTATTGTATATTCATTGATGATAAAGAATCAAATAATATTCAACAACCTGTTTTTTAATGACTTTGAGATAGCACATATTACCGTATTACATATAACACAGTATTGCCTATAACTATTCGTTCATAATGTATGACTATAGATTTATTATACTTTTGTAAAGAATAAATATATACTGTATTGACCAAATTGATAGAAGTTAATATTTTATAAACATATAATATGTTATAAAATGTAATTTTTCTTTAAAATAAGTATGAAGCTATAAACAAAAATTGTATATCATCATTCATGATACGTTAACAGGTAATTAGAGAATAAGACGAAAAAATCTATATTATGGTTGCTATGGGATACCGTTTTGTACTATGGGGTATACATGACAAAATTCCTTACAATTGTACTGAAACATTTTTTACACGCATTTTACCATCATTATCTTATCAAAGATTAATATTTTTTTATCCATTAGTCAAATATATCTTATGCCATACTACAATACTCGTATGTACATAAAATGATCAATACAATTCTAAGAAACCAGATTTAACTTTCCTCGAATTATGTCAACGATGGATTGTTTTCATGAAGTATTTATTGTAGATTATTTTAACTACCAACTATCGAGATTTAATATTTTTATATTTAAATAAAACTTATAAAAGTATTAGATTATAATGTAACTTATATAGTTCCGTGCATGTTATTTTTTACCTACCGTCTGTATTCTGCAATTCTGCACTCATGAACTATAATATTGGAATTGATCAATATAGTTAGTATACCTACCTTAAATATAGGTATGAATTACTGAAATAAATTACTTTATGTTGTAGATATTATGAACCAAATATGTTCATTATAGTTATTTTGACAAAAATATTTAAGTATAAATAATGTAAAAGCGGTAAAAAAGATTAAACTATAAATTACAACTATTTATTTTTTCTATATAAAAAATATACATCATTTCATAATTTATTATTTTAGTAATTTTATACAAGTTTTTATTTTTATAATTTTATAAGAGTGTTTTTACTGTAGCAACAAATTATATTAATAGTCTAATAATTTTTTTAACATTAACGATATAATTTTTATTTAGAATTCTAATTTTTCCATTTAATAATATATGAAAATAAAATATTATATAGTTCATGTAAGTTTAAAGTATTGTATATTTTTATAAATTGGTAAATTTGAATACATTTACACGTACAAAATTTAACTATTGTTTGAATTTATTAACTTTGTGATAACCAGAACCAACTTTAAATTTTTAACAATGTAGTTGTTATTTTTTACAAATTCTTACCATTTAAACTGTATAGAAAACGTTAAAGAATATTATCGTTATTCATTTGTCTATAGTTACATGTTTATTACTTTCAATTTTATTATAGTAGGTATAATATAGTGATAGTATAGAAGTCTGTTAACTAATACAGCTAAAAAAACATGTTTGTTGACTGTTGTGGTTACATAATTTAAATTTACTCTGAACTCTGAAATCTACAGAAAACTAATGGTCCATATGATTAAATTTATTTATAAAGCAAGATGTATAATTACATGATTGTAATTATCTGATACAAGTTATAGTATAATAGTGACGTAGGTACTTAGATTGTTTTCCTGAGGGAATTTTATGAAACAATTTCCTTATAAATTTAAAACGCCTCTATTTATGTAAAAATATATACCTTATACCAGTGTTTCCCAACCTTTTTGTAATGTCGACCCACAAATTTACTGCTTGTTGATAACATGACTCAACGCTCCCAAACACTAAAAAAAAAAAATGTAAGTATGCAACAATATAGTATTATAAATAATCATAGAATTGCCTGATGCAAATGGTCAACAGTCGCGACCAATAAAAAATATATCGCGACCCAATTTTGGGTCATGACCCATAGGTTGAGAAACACTGCCTTATACTATAACATTTGTAATATTTTCAACTCAATTCAAATACATTTTAAGGATAATTAATTAAAAAAAAAATTATAAATAAATCATTAAATACATTTATATAAAGTCTGATGATTTATAATTATATAGTTCTATAAATTTTCATTAATATTATACTTTTTATATGGAAATAGATTTAGATAGATCACTGTTCAATTTATTATTAAATATTACCTTACATTAAATATATGTAGTATAATTAATTTATGATTATAATAAATTATATTACATTTTGATTTACATATTATATATAGTATACATCGTATTATAAATTGATCATAAATAAATTATAAATCATAAATGTATGTGTTTCACTATTCAGCACATTGACGTACGTAAAGCGAAAGTTATTGTTTTACATATGGGTTAGTTTATAAGATATAAACTTTTTGAAATATACCTAACATTAACTAAACTCGTATTACTGATTAGGTGCATAAAGATATTTTATTTTATAAAATGTTATCAATAAAGTATTTTCTTTAGGTTAGGTACCTATATTGTTTTTATATGAAATGTCTGTTATATTTGTATTGTCCAACAGTTTTTAAACTAATGAATAAGAAATTAATTTTTTAATCTTAAGTACATTATTGATAATATTTATAACTGCTTGAAATAATATGTTTTCAAAATTATCGTCCTTATGTTGATAAAAATTTTAATTACTGGCAAATAACCCCAATATAATATACATCTCTCAATGGAACTATAATTTATAGAACATAATAAGTATTGCTTTATTACTGATACTCGTAGTTTTCATGTGAGCTGTAAACAATGAAATTATTATTGAATTATTTTCATATTATAATGATGTTGAATATATATGAACTTAAACTCAAATTATTTCTAATCTGATTTATCTTTTATAATAACTATATTCTATAATATGTAACATCATAGGTATTCAATATTTATAATTTAAAAATGTAGTAATTTAATTAAATAATTTTTTTCCAAAACTTTTATATCATAAAATTAAATTTTAGAGTTAATTGAAACTTAAATGATTTATTACTACAAATACTTATAAAAATGAAAATATAAACAAAACTCTATTGTTTTACTATTAATAATATTTTTTATTTATTTAACATTTTGATGGAATGGAATTATGATATTTATATTTTTGATTCTAAAATATTATTTATGTGAAATGTATAGTCAAAAATCTAAATTGATTTTATGTTACATATGTGTATAAAATAAAAAGAGTTTCTAAAGCAAATTTCAATTTTTGAATTTTTTTAATTATTATTGAAAACAGTTCAAAGACGGACGTTAGTATGATCATGATAAGATATTGTACGTACCTATATATATATGTAGAGATTTTTAAATTGTTAGAACTATACTAGAATACTATGTAAATCACATAAATTATTAAATTATTACAATACAATGAATAAGATAATTATGTTTTTATTTTTATTTACTAATATTAGACTGTTAAAAATATAATTACATAAATTATAAATATATAATCACTACAAATCTTATTGATGTTCCGTTAAAACATAAGCTAGCACAGAATACCTACTTATTATAAATATTTTATATCAACTTTAAATAACCTTTTTATTAAAAATATATAACTATATACTATAACAACGTACTCTTATAACTAAATCAAACTTCTTAATTTTGTTAATCAGGCATATTTCTAGAAAAACATATTTATAACCAAATCGTTATATTCATTAATTATTCTCATTAAAAACCAATACATACCAAATATAGGTAGGTATTGATACTGTCGTTAAGTGCTGATATCATATTGTACTTTAGAATATTTGTAAATCGATTTACTTTAGTTATAAGGGAGAAATATTTTTAGTATTAATTTTAAATGTAGTGTTAAGATACAGACTAGTATAAAAAATGTATTGATATAATTGTACCTATGCGATTAAAAAAAAGTAGATTTCGTTTATATTCCAATAATGTTTTGTGTACATCTGTATTTTGTATATTACTATTAAATTACATATTCTAAATTTCGAATACAATAAATAATACAATTCCATAAAAATTATTATTTTACACTACATACATTTTAGTTTTTCTGTTAACGACAGAACAATTTACCGTAAAGTTTTTTAATAAGTATTTTGAATATAATTAATTTAAATATATGTATTAAGAATACTTAAAAGTATTTAATACAAATTTAATTATTGGTAGAAGTACAATATTAATAAGTATATATGAATTATATTCTAAGGTTTATTTTTAATTTTTGTTATCCAATTGAATTCTTTATTTTATCCCCGCAGGTTACAGGATTTTCTTTCACTCATTTACTACTTTTTAGACTAGTTTAACTTGTATTTCTATATAATATTCTTTTATTTTTTTGCCACTAAAAATTAAACCGGTTTTAGAAGTGTGATTATATATTTTTACCCGTTATAGTTACTATGTATTCATTTTACTTTTATACAATATAATAAACTCATATATAATACACATCCAGTAGTCTTAAAAGTAAAGATTACTACGAAATAAAAATAAAAACTGTTTGATATTTACATATTTTAAGTATTTATATTTTGATTTATTTAAACTAAAAATAACGTTTGCAAAAACAAACAAATAAAAATTAACAACATATTTAATAAATGATTATCATAGGAAAATTATTGGATAATCCTTTTTTTTTAAAAAGTTTTTTTGATATTTATCATCTGAACATCGGTATGTAGAATTTGAATTTTTTACGTTTATGTATCGGATAACGATGGTATAGAAATAAAGTTACTAGGTTAATACTTAATATATTAAATAACATATAACAATAACAAATTTTTAAAATAATCAAAATTTACGATTGGATATTTAAATATTTTGTTATTTAACGATTTATAAGCAAATTTCATGTAAAACATTTACCGACAATAAAAAAAATAATCAAGCGTACATCCTATATAGCGAGTATAATATAAGTAATTCAACTCCTCCAGTCATTTTTGGTAGGCTTTGGACTTCGTATAGAAATGCCCCAATCAATAACTGGCGCCACTATAGTATCTCTCACACTTCAGTTATACGGTTCCCAAAAAACCATCCCGTAGTCCAATGTTTCGCAAACGTAAAATATTATTTTTCACATATTGTTTTTAACAAAAACAACTATAACAGTGCACATTATAAACTATTACTAATTTTACTGTACAACGTGTATTGTAGTATAATTTATACGAACATTTATAATACATTTTAAATACCCGCGTATTAAGGTGAGTTAAAAATTAATTATGTATGATTTATTGCACAGAAGTTTTTATTGGTCATATAATCATTTTATATAATGTAGGATTATATTTGAACTGTTTTATACCAATAATAAACGCAAATCTAGGTCGTTTCTGGTAGCTATAAGGTATTTTAATTGTGTAATATCGACAAAGAACTAAGCATATGTCATGTAATCATTTATTATAAGTACTGTATATGGCAAAAAAATAAATAAAAATTAAGATTTATTCTTTATCTGCGAAGTGATATATATTATACACAACTATGAAGTAAAGTTACAGCAAGTTGTCGCAATTAAAAAAATAAAAATATACAACAGTAAGGCATAATAATATAGTTGCTATTATTTGCTTTTACATAAACTTAAATTGTAAAAGTGTTTTTAAAACTAATCATTGTCAACACGTTAATTTTTTTTAAATTAATGTCCTATGAATAGTATTTCGTGAAACTAATCTTATTATTTTAGTCAAAAGTATTGATGATCATTAATGATAAATACATTTTACAGTACAATCATGCCGGGAAACGGATTATTGGAGACTTCTCCAAACTATGTTATCAACAAAGCTGTTGCAGCTAGGTTTCAGCAGCTACCTCAGCCCAAGGATAAGGTACAAGTTATGTACGTATGGATCGACGGAACTGGACAAAATCTCAGAGCTAAGTCCAGAACATTAGATTTTGTACCCACAAAACCTGAAGGTATATTCTTTACTTGGATTTAATTAACCATACATTATAGATACACAAGACTTGACTAAGCAGTAAAGAAATAATACATTATAAAGAAACAATGCTGATAAATAATTCCAAAATTATTTGAAAACGATAAAATATAAATTATTATAACTTATCATTTTAATAAATCTTTTATTTAAAAACATATTATATATGAATAGTATTTTAATAGTGTATCAAAATAAGGATATCCTGTTAAAACATACACAATTTGTTTTTTCCCAATGCTTGTGTGTGAATATTAATATAATTGTTAAAAGTAAATTGGTATCGTTTATAATCTATTATGACTAATTTATAGTCAAGGACTAAATTGTTTGGTCTAACCTTGATTATAAATTGTAAACAAAAAGAAAGACAAATGATAAATGACTGCCAGTATTATGAAAGTATAAATATAATATTAAATAATGATATATCGTATATATTTTTGTTTAATAATTATATATTATAGTTTATTTTGATATTTGAAAATAAATATTAATCATATTTTAAAGACACAATTGATAAAAAAAAAAAAAATACAATTTTTGTCTTTTGAATACGGAATATTTCTTTTATAAATTGACATTAATATATTCTAATTATAATTAAAATCTATTTTTTGCAGTAAGAAATAAGTAGGTAGGTAGATAAAATAAAAAGCGAATTCAATTTACATAATACATCAATGATTGATTATCTTTTGATTGATTAAAAACTAAAAGTTAAAATATAATCAAATAGAGTTTTGAACATATTTTCTGAACACAATAGTAAAATTATAAACAACATTAAATTATTCAATGAATTATTAATGGTTTTTAATTTATTACTTTTTATAAAATAAAATAATTTTAATTGTTCAACTATTATATGCAGGGTGTAACCAATGTCGTCATGTTTACTCATAATTATACAGCTAAAACAATAAAACAGAAAGACATGGTGATCCACTCTGTATAATAAAGAATGAATGTCAATTAAAATAAACAATTAATATATAGTAAAATAACTAACATAAACAATAATTATACATGATTACGTTAAATCTACAACTTTTGTTTTGCAAATTACAGAACTCCCAATTTGGAATTACGATGGAAGCTCTACATACCAATCACAAGGATCAAATTCTGATACATTTTTATATCCAGTGGCGATTTTCAATGACCCGTTCAGGTTGGCACCCAACAAACTTGTTATGTGCGAAACGTACAAACATGATCATACTCCCACTGGTAAAACATTATTAATAATATTTATTATAAATTTACTAAAAATATTAAACATATCAAATTAGATTTGATTATTTATTTAAAAAAATCAAACTAATTAAAAATAATTGTATAGAAACAAACCACCGTAAAGCTGCTTTAGAAGTTATGACAAAAGCCGCCGACCAAAAACCATGGTTTGGGATTGAACAAGAATACTCTTTACTAGACACAGATGGTAAGCCTTTTGGATGGCCAAAGACAGGATTTCCAGGTCCTCAAGTACGTTGTATTTGTAAACATATGTATCTTTGTAACGTGTAATATGTAATTTGCACTTGCATATTACGTAAAAATGTACATATTATTATTTTTCAACTATAAGTTAGAAGTAAAACTCATTACACAATTTATTGTTACATAGGGTCCGTACTATTGCGGTGTTGGTGCTGATAAAGTGTATGGACGTGACATTGTGGAGGCTCATTATCGTGCATGCTTGTACGCCGGAATCAACATATCTGGAGAGAATGCTGAAGTTATGCCAGCGCAGGTATTTATTAGCGTTGACATCATAAAGCTATAAAATTTTATTTTATATGCGATCTTACTGCAGTATGTATAGCCACAGTAAATGTATTCAGTCGGTTCATGATTATATTTGACCTTAATGGATAAAAAAATGTATTTTGAAAAAATGCAATTTATTTTATGAATATGAGAAAAAACTACAATACTTTGATTTTATCGTAAAAAACCGGTTTATCATTTAAATAACACTATAGAATTGGCATTTATTTTTGTATTGTATTTTATTTTACATAAGTATTTTATTAGAAATATCTCTGAAGTAACAAACAACTGATTATTTTATAATATACTTAATTGGTTTTCAAACTACTTACCTAGAATGGAAAATTACACAAATCGTTTATTTTAGTGGGAATTCCAAGTTGGACCATGCGAAGGAATCAGCATTGGTGATCATTTATGGATGGCTCGTTTTATTTTACATCGTGTTGCCGAAGAATTCGGTATTGTGGTAACACTTGATCCAAAACCTGTACCAGGAGATTGGAATGGTGCTGGTGCCCACTGTAACTTTTCAACTCAAACTATGAGGGAAAACAATGGAATAATGTAATTCGTACATATTTAAATAAAAATGCTTTCAAATGTTATGGTTAAAATTATCAATGTTAATCTTATTGTTATAGTGAAATTGAAAAGGCTATTGACAAATTGTCGAAACAACATGTGAGACATATTAAGGCATATGATCCAAATCAAGGCAAAGATAACGAACGTCGTTTGACTGGTAAACACGAAACTTCTTCGATTCACGATTTTTCGGCTGGTTAGTATCTTACCTAACATCATAAAGTACCTACTACTAAAAATTATTACTGTTACACTTCGAAAAATATAACTTATTGTTTTAGGCGTTGCTAACCGTGGAGCCAGTATTCGTATTCCTCGTGGTTGTGCTGAAGAAAAGAAAGGTTACTTGGAAGACCGCAGACCATCGTCGAACTGCGATCCATATAGTGTCTCTGAAGTCATTGTACGCACTGTGTGCCTAAACGAATAGAATACCTACTAAGATAATAACATATACCTAATCTGCAAGATAAATTTATTTCCCCACCACAGAAAAAAGCGAACATTATCTCATATATATATATATACATATACATTTGTTACTACATATGATTGTTTTTAATTTTAAACACATGACCAAAAAACAATATTGCATTTTGATAAGTGTCACTTTAAGACATGTCGATTTTTTAATGTTTTATTATTTATACATTTAATCATAATCGTATTATATATAATTCTGTTAAAATAGCCATGTATCTACTGTTATTTTATGCTAATGAATTTTAAAAATTTAGTTTTATTTTTGGGGAAAAGCATTTTGTGAAAATTATATTTTTGTTAATTTAAAACCATGAAATATTTAAACAACAAATTATTTGACTTTTTCTTTTAATACTAATTCATTCAAAAAACACGTGAATATCTATATTAGTATATAACTGATATTATTAAGAAACAACAGCCACAATGCAAAAAACATAAATGAATAATGTTATACCTGTTATACCTGTTGTCTTATTAAACAATATATCTAAGCTAATAGTAAACTAGAATCTATTTTACTTGATTAATTTATTATATAACTGTTGAATTTTGACAATAACCTAATTTTAACTGAGATTATGTTTTTAAAAAGGTTGGTTTTTTTGCAAATATACGTAAACACTTTTAATATAATTCAAAAGTATTCTGAATAATATAAAATATATATTATTATATACATATAATTTTATACATTATCCGTAAAACTTGTATAGATAAAATTTTCATATTTCATTTCTTAAAATATAACTAAATCTGAACATTTTTTATCGATTCCTATTTTCCCAATCAAATACGTATTCGAATAAAGATGATGTGTATACCTACTTGTTTTATATTTAAATGCACTAAACATTATAATACGTATACTATATACTCTTAGATTTAATCTAAAAGTTAAATGTAAATTTTTTCCGTGTGTAAAATAGAACAATTTATATAAGTTAATAAGCTGATGATGAAAACTATTTCGAACATTAATATTGAATGATAATTAAAATAGTTAAAAAAAAACAAATTACCAACATTCACTATCTTTATTTCTTTATCTGAATAGCACTTTTTTTTCAACAGCTTATTTAAATAATTTCTTAATATATTTAGTATTTAATAGTTTATATTTAAGTTTCAGTAGGAATAAAAAAATCACAAAATCACGGTAATATATTCAACATTTATCTTTCAGTCGAATTATACATATAGATAACATAATCTGGTGATGAAACTGTTGAACTCCTGATGAGTAAGTTAAACCTACTACAACAGAAATGTAGAAAGTCTTTATTTTTTTAAGTAGGTAAATTGCCTGATTCCTGATGAAGATATTTTAGTAAAGCGTCCCCCTTCCTCTTAAATATTTACGTGCATAGTTGCAACATCGTCTACATTTGTTATATAAATAATAAATTATTGTATTATTTAATTTTAATTTAAGTAGACATCAAGTCAAAATTAGTTTATTATTCGACTCAAAAAGCGAATTACAGTTCGTACAGAGGATGTAAATTGAATTTAATTCATAAATAAACCTTTCTAACAGATTAATAAAATATTGCAATGCATACAACAATGTCAACAAGTGTTAGCAATTCTAGATTGAGTAATTGTGCTATTATTATATTATGTATGTGAAATGTCATTAAATATTTAATACGCTCATAAAAGAACATAGGAAAAATACTTCACTGAAAAAAGTTTCAAAAACAATGATCAATGTAATAAAATAGAATTGAATGAAAAATATCAAAATTAATATTTTTGAAAAGTTTCTCTTTTTACAAATATTATATGCTAAATCGATCAATTAATTAATACTGTCAATCGTTATGTAATCAATCAGTTTATTCTTCTTCTTAATTTGGCCCTTAATAATCTCTGAGTTTTCACCGCCATCACTAAATCCCACTATTTTTCTCGATCTCGGACTAATTTTTTCCTTTCTTTAACTCCCATTCTATCAAGACCTTATTCCACTACGTCTATTAAATATTTTTTTGGTCCCTCTCTGAGTCTTTTACCCGTTGGCTTCTACCCCAGGACTGTTCTACTTAATTCGTGCTCATTTCTCCGCTACATTTGTCCTAGCCATTAAATTCTTTGTCCTCTTATAAATTATACTACCAATGCCATTTCCATTTCTTCCTATAGTACTTTGTTATATATTCTTCTCCACATTCCTTTTTTATTATCACATAATAGTTCACATATCGACGCCTCAGTTCAAGACTGCAATAACTCAAATTATGAAACTACTAGTATTAGAATGAAATAAATGACTTCTAGAGGTGAATAATGCAACTAAAAGTTATTATGTTATAGAACCGAAATCGTCGTAACTTTGCAAATAATATCACGTAGATAACTCAATTCTGAATATTTTTGAGTAATTGCTGTCTTGAATTGAAGCGTCGATATCTCAATAATAGTTTTTTTGAGTTATTGCAGTCTTGAACTGAGGCGACGATATTACCTTCTATGTTTTGTTCTCAAAAGTTCTCAATTTTCTTTCAGTAGTGTTAGTGAAAGTCCATGCCTCGTACCCATTTTTTATCGTGGTCCAGCTTATTCAGTGATTTAAAATATATTTAATATGACTATACAAACCAAAAATCATGACTCTAACTTAAAACCTCTAAGAATTCAATAAGAATATCTACCACACGTGGATTGTGATGGGTGACTTATTGTACATTTCACCTAGGCGCGCACACAAACAATTTTTTTTTTTGTAGTGGCAGTTTAGGCTGTACATTTTCATACTTCTATGATCCATACAACACTCTATAAATTAATATATACACTATACATAAATATAGGAGTGTTAGAATCCTCTAAAACATTTCCAAGTCATACTAGCTTGCGTATGCCGAACGGGAGTACATCGACATACTGTACACAGAACAATATATAGAAGCGAAGGCGAACCGATTTGCATGTGTATAACTACGTTGGTGTTTTAAATTAACGCGTCCTTGTGCACGAGTCTGACGCCACGGCCGCAACTACCGTGCACCCCATAATTTCGTGTCGCAAACGGAACAGCACCGATGACGCGCGACCGCCGCTTAGAAACACCAACACAACACAACGGTCCGCGCATCTGTACACGCACGTCCGTGTCCGTAACCGATGCGTTCCGTGCACGGATGAATATTGTCAACAGTATCGTCGTCGTCGTTTTACTAGGCCTGTAAGGCAGGATCGTCGTGGGTGCCATTCGCACGGTTAAAATGCCGACTACCCGTTACACGCACGCGGTCGTGTGCAGGCTACCGCAGTCATTGATGAATCGCCAACCGACGTTGGACTACGACCGCGCGAAACGGCAGCATGGCAACTACGTGCGGGCCTTGCGAGACATCGGCCTGGACGTCATAGAAATGCCGGCCGACGAGGAAACGCCTTGGTGTGCGTTCGTGGACGACACTGCGTTCGTGTGCAACGGCACCGCAATAATCACGAAGCCCGCAGAGGTGGACCGAGCGAAAGAAGTGAGTCAATGATTCTCCTGTTGTGTTTCGATAAAAAATGATATATACATATGTATAAAACTGGTCATTTTTTTTTCTACTAGTAGATATTCTGTTATTTATCTGGTACTAATAGGCTAATGATCTCAATTTTTTTTAATGAATAATTTCCATTCTCAGATGGAATGTAAATATTATATATTCGTGTTACTTAGGAAAAGAAAAAAACAATAGCCTCGTTTTTAAAGTTAATCTTCACAATTGAATTCATCATAGTATTCATATTTTATTACACTACAATGAAGTATCTACATAAAATAAATCCCACATTTATCCTTAATAAGTGTTTGAAATACTTCAGGTTGAAACAATAAGAGCTGTGTTGAAGAAAGAAATTGGACTGCCTATTGTTGAAGTTTCTGATAAATCTGCAAAATTGCATGGAAGTGATATATTATTTACAGGTACAGCATATGTAACAATAAATTATATTAAATATATTTTCTATACGAAAAGTATTGAAATAATGGTTTCATTACTTTAGATATTGAATACCAAGTATTTTTAGTAATGTAGAATTATTAAATGATATCAGTTGTTATTTCATTTTATAACGTTAAACAATTAAAAATTATTATGATATAACAATTCTTTATATTATTCTAAGTATTTTTATACATTCATTATAACAGTAGTTTATCATGACTTGCTCTTTTAACACTATTAATTTACGCCTTATTGACAAAATATGTTATTAGATGACATCATTCAATAAGGCTTTTTATCTAACATAGTAGAGTTGATTGTTGATTTTATCACCCACGTTTAATAATATATTTATATATACTATTTAGGTCGAGAATTCTTTATTGGAATAACAAAATGGACCAATGAATCTGGAGCTTGTGCAGTTGCATCAGCTTTTCCAGAATATCCATGTACACCAATTAAGGTCAACAATTATTTTATATAACATTGCATGTCATGTGTTAAATAAAAATTAAATTGTAATTGAAAAATATTTCTAATAGGTCACTGAAAATAAACACCTAAAATCAATTGTATCAATGGCAGGACCGGATCTTATGTGTATTGGGTCAAGTGATTCATCAAGAAGTGTTCTGAAAGTAAGAAGTTTAAAAAAAATATCAAGTAATATTTTATTAATATTAAATATTATTTATAGAGGTTAGAAAGAGAAGCAACATATAGCTACCAAATTCTTACGTTGCCTGAAGATGAAGCTGCTAATGTGATGTACATAAATGGTACATTATTGCATCGATCAGCTAGAGAAATTCCACTATCATTCAATGTAATATATTTATTATATCTAGTAATCCAATTTTAAATTAAAAAAATAAATAAATAAACGTGTTTAAATTGTATGAAATATTAATTTTAGGTTCTATCAGAGAAAATTACAGATTTAACTCTACAATCTGTTGATATTTCTGAACTTTTGAAATGTGAAGGAGCCAATTTGAATTCATGTTGTCTTTTAGTTAGACGTATTAAACATATTAGAAGCTTATAATATTATGAAATTATCACTTATATCAGTATTATAATATGTAACAAACACTCCATGACTAAATTGTATGTATGTAAATATATACAGACACATAACATTCCATATTTATTATAAATGTTTAAATGTTATAGATTTTTTTTAATATTTAAATCACTTTTAAGTTTTAATTTATTTATTACTGAGATTGAATCTTATTATGATTATAAATTTGTTAACTAATTAATTAAATACCTATTATAATTTGTTCCTTATAAATATATTTTAATTATTGAGTATAATTATGCCTATACTCCTACAACTTATAGATCATTATTTGTGTAAATGTTCAAACAATATATAAACAATAAAAATTAATTTAATAATTAAATTGTTATTTCTTTTATACCTTTTTTTTTTTTACAAATATCTACCAACAAATGATCAGTATCAAAAGAATATAGTATAGTATATATATATTTCTTCTGTCCCTGTACATGTCACTGAACTCTTAAACAGTTGGACTGATTTTATGAAATATGTATGGTATTAAGAATGGTTTAGAGTCAACATTTGATTTAATCCAAAATTACTTTTATTTCACATGAAATAGGATAATAGGGTTCATTTTTTTAATAGGGCAATGTCTGTCAGGTCCACTATTATATATATATTATGATAAAATATCTAATCATAGCTAATTAAAGCAAATATCTATTAAAAAATAGCCATGGATAATGCATAATATAATATAAATATTAACACCTAGGGCTTCAAAATAACTTTAATTTAGTTATATGTAAAAATATGTAAGAGTAACATATTCAATTTATAAAATGTAATATTTATAATAACGCAGGAAGTATTTTGTATTAAGCAACATAAAAGCTAAACAATAATTTCATAGTACTAAATATATCATACAATGGTTTATTTAATTAATATACTTTATAACTTGATTAAGTATTGAAAAATAATCTAAGTCTACGGTCAGACTAGATCCGGCATCGGCCGAAAAAAAACAAAATATTTTGTTTTCATCCGACATCACCCGTAAACGATCGAATATCTCGGATGTAATGTGACCAGGTACAATTGAATTTTATACTTTTATTTTTTTCGTTCATATTCGGCCGATGTCGGGTCTAGTCTGACCGTAGACCGCGTGTCCTACGTGGCGTCCGTTAAATACGTCCGATGTGTCCGACGCGATAATCCGTCAAGAAATAAAAACAAATATATATATAAATTAATACAACTGTCCAAAGTGTGCGGCAAATGCGATAATGCGTTTGATATTAAATCAACGTCGATCAAGTGCTAAAATATGATATGATATGATATTATATTATTATAAATTGAGTATCTACTACTGATGAGCACAACTGACTGACGAGTGACGACTACGTACTACAAATAATCGACTATTTATAACTATTATTAACACTATTTATAATAAAATAATATTTTATTATTGGATGATTCGGTGTACAGACGTTTTTTCCGACCCACACAATAACTGTCGTTAACATACGACAATCGGAAGATAACAATCTACATTATAATTCCTAAAATATATTATTATATCCAGATGGCTTGGTTATAATTTACTACGAAAAAAACTTACTACAGTTATGTATTCTTAAATCGCCTTAAAAATTGTTATTAAATCGTATACATATCGCATTGACGGACGCCACGTAGGACACGTTGTATTATCGGATTATCGCATTAACGGATCGGATGCTCCTTAGGACACGACGTAAAACATTACATATATTGTTATAAATATTTTTAGAATGGTATCTGAATATAATATCTATACTATGAATTGTTATATGCTAGGGTCATAAGATATGATCCAGATCAATTACACTAAGTAAATAAAATATTTTATTTGACCTTGAGTTACTATAGTTGATAGATTCTATTATTATTCATTATTTCTTATTACTATTAAATAAACTCCATATATTTTAAATATATTAAAATATTAAAAATAAAAATATCACAAAAGATTTATACATGATCACTTTCAACTAAAATTCTGATTTATTGTTGATAGAGATTAAAATAATTTCAGATGGTTAAACTTTTTTATATTTCATAGGCACAAAGCATAGAAAAATTAAGAGTTTAAAAAGCAAAAATATTTATATTACTTTTAATGGTATTAAAATCATATATTTCATTAATTTAAATAATAATTAGACAATAATAAACAAACAAATTACAATTACCTTGATAAGAGAATTTATTTTTTTTCTTTGTCCAATGGTATCTCCTCAGTGGGAGGCGGGACATTTCTGAAATTTGGAAATTGTTCCCACGGAGCAGACAGCTCAAAGCGCCTGAATTCTTGTGCCATTTCCAATGGCTCCACTACAACTCTCTTTTTGTCATCATCATACCTTACCTAGTGTTAAAAATAAACAATATACAACATTTTTTTAATTTAAACTTCTATAAATTAATAAATTACTTCAACATATCCAGACAAAGGAAAATCTTTACGGAATGGATGACCTTCAAATCCATAATCAGTAAGAATTCTTCTTAAATCTGGATGATTACTGAAGAACACCCCAAACATATCCCAGATTTCTCTTTCATACCAGTTTGCTGCTTGAAAAATAGGTGTAGCTGAATCAATTGGAGTTAATTCATCCGTGTAAGTTTTAACGCGAATACGAGAATTGAACCGGACAGACAACAAATTATAAACAATCTAATATAAATCAAAAATAAAAATTATAAAATGGTTAATATAATATAAAATTTTTTAATAAAAATTATCATGCAATAATTATTTAAATTATTTGTTCACAAGCTATAATAAACATTAGCATTATAAATTGTTATCTAATTTTAATAAAATTTAAAAAATATTTGATTTTATTTACTAACTGATTTACTAACTGAAACAATAAACCTAATGACTTCATAGAAAAAATAGTTATGATTTTTTTTCTTTTAAATCTTCATCAATTCTCTCTAGTAGATATTATATCTTTTTATAATAATCGTAATTACATTTATATAATTATTTATTATAATTTTATAACAACCTATACACATCAATATTGAATATGCATACTGTCTTTTGGTAACCCATATGGTGGGCAATCTGTTAAATAAAGTTGTTATGTATATAATCATATTCTATTATATACAATTCATTACCTCAAATCTATTTGAACGTTGAGGAATATCTACAGCACACAAATCAGACAAATTGGAAAACTGGGCATTATGATGATCTTTTAAAAATTGTAACACTGGTAAAACACCTTCTGGTGCAATGAGTATTTCCAATTCATCTCCAATAACAATTTGTACTTTTTGGACATATTTTGGTAAACATTCAGCTACATATTTTCCAAACTCTGCTAAGTTTTGTTTTACAAGTTCATCTGTTTTTCTAACAGTGGCTAAAAAAAAAAAAATGAGTTTAGAATAAAAATATAATTGTCAAAAAATTCTTTCTAACAACTAAATATTTATTTTTATCAATAAATTTAATTGCTTTATAAAAATTATTTCCAGATTGTAAAGCGCTCACCACAAACTTATCAATATTTAATTTTTTTAAAAACTTAGTAGTAAAACTGAATGTATTGAGAAGCATACAATTTTTATAATATATTTATAACTATTTAATGTTATAATTTTTTTGTTAATTTTGAATTAACAATCATTTTTAAATTTTCAACAAATTATAAAAAGCCCCTATCATGTTAAGGACAATATAATAAAAAACTTAGTTTACTTATCTTTTATTTTATTATTATAAAAACACAAGTAAAGTAATAACAAATTTAAGGTAACATTTCTAGCTACACATTTAAAAAAATCAATAATTATTTAAATTGTTAATAATTTTAAACTTTGTTTAATATAATTACATTATGCGATATTTTCATTCTTTAGCTAGGCAGAAATCAGTACACAAGGATAAAATAATTTTTTTTAATAAATCACCACTTTTTTAATGATATTATATTATATTTAGTCAAAAAAAGTAAAATATTAGCAATGTATTGTAAGTATTCTAGTATCAAAACTAATATTTTTATTCAGAAAATATGTTATAGATTTTTGTTTTCCTGAGTTCTGCTATTAAACTATTAATAATGACTACCAATACTTATATTTATTTGATTAAAATATTATACAAATTTTATAGTTTTTAATATTATTTATTAATATTAAAGAACGAGTATTAATAAAAAATATTACGTCTTGTTTCCTTGGGCACTTCAGTACTTTGAAAACGAGCTCGGCCTAAAATGGAATTAGGAAAGCTAATTGCTTGAGTTGTACCTAAAATCATAATAAAGCAATTTACTAAGAAAATTTGAACCTCGTAGGTGAATCAAGGGCATGATGATATCATTATCCAGACAAATTGAAAAAACTATTTATGTTCGATTCGATTAATTTTTACCTTTGTGCAGTCCCAAAAGTTTTGATTGCTGAAATACTTTATTGATAATTCGTACTGCCATTATAGAACAATTAATCTTCTGCTAACAAACAAAAAATTGAATTTATTGAATGAATTTTCGTGTCGTATGTTTTCAGAGACCTGATAACACAATTTGGATTATCCACAAATAATATATAATCACAGAATATATAATGCTATCACAGATTCCATTAAATGTAATTTATGATAAGACACGCCCGCCATACACGTCAATAATACACAATTTAAATTTGTACTACAGAATAGATTTAATATAATATGTTTTTGTACTGCCATTCAATTATTACGTGATTCATTTACTTTATCCCAATTTTATTAGAAATATTTAATAATTACTGTAGTAGGTACTGACCTTCGCCCAGAAATTAATTTTTCGATAAATGTATTAACATAATTTAAATAAACATCTTATAAAAGTAAGCTAGGTAGTTTTGTTGAATTAAACATCTTCATTGACTAAGTACTTGAAAGTCATATTGAACTTGTGGTACGTTACATTTGACGCTATGATGTGTGAACACATAAAAAATCATAGGTTACTCCATAGATAATTTAGCACAGTAATACTTTGAAAAATGATTGATCTATTTTTGGACTTAACTATTGATACCTGAATTTTTATGTTTTACATACCTAGGTGTTTATATGTTAAACTAGGTATTGAGTACCTATTCGACAAACTGATGATACGTGGACTTAAAATTCTAGCAATAAGTATTATGGTTGAAAAGTACGATAAGTATGAGAATAATCATAATTGTGCCACAAATCTTAGCGAGAATGCCGTCAACTTGCGTGAAATACATAATTATTCATTTGATATTGAAAAACAGTCTATTATTTCAGGCGTCAAGCACTTTTGTAGAACTTCAATCACATCAACAATAGCAATAAGAAAATTAATTTTAAACACAATGGAATATTCGCAGTACATTTTTAATAATGATTATGATTTTAATTTAAAGTTTATTGGTAATCGAGAAAGTTACATATTAATGCTTAGAAAAACGAGCCGTAGTAAACAATCAAAATATAGTTAAAAAAAAAAAATGTTATACCATTAATTGGTACCATAATAATATACACTAAAAATTGCAGTGGTAATGCTAAGAGGAACAATAAATTTACTATATAAGTTAGAAATATTAATTCTTTGGTAGCAAATAAAAGGGGTTGGAAGGAATATAGTCTCCTAAATTAATTATAGCTCATACACTATATACCAGAATTTTGTACATGGTAAAATATATAATGAAACATTTTCCAACCCTTCAAATCTCAATCACTATTTGCGCTGATAACGATATGCTAACTTCCGTTGTCTTGCCATTTTTAATGCTGAATACAAATGTAAATTGAGGGAGAAATGTTAAGTTACTTTTACTGCTATTATATGGGGACCAGTAAAGTGTTGAAAGCAGTAAACTGATGCTTAATAATATGAGAGATAAATTTGAAATCTATTTTATATTATACTGTGAACAAATAAAAATGACACAAAATAATGTGTTCTCACCAAAAACATTTTTGTAATTTAAAGTCCACAATATAAAAATTAAAATAACTATTTAAATATTGTAGTAGGTATATGATTAGAAATAAAAGCCTCATTAATAATATTCAATATTAAGCTTATATTTTTATACATATAAAGTTTTGTTGGTAAAACTTTTTTATTCTGGAACATAACATATAGCTACAATTTGTAATAAATTTATAAAAAATTAATTAAATAATGGTTTTATTTTATTTTCACGTGAGATTTTATAACTATATTACTATCACACAAAATATTAACTTTTTCTTTACAGTAGCATCTTTATGGATTTTAAATTGTCTTCTATGAATCGTTAAGTATAGTTATAACCAATTCAGTTAAATACACTTTTTTTACTTTCCAAAACTACCTAAAAATTGTCTGTGCATTTATGAGAAAGGAATCCAATTTTACATAAAATCAGACGAATTCAAGTAATGCAAGAACAAAAAGAAATTTCATACACTTATTGTAATAATTTTAGTTCATAGAATTATTTAAATAAACATTTTACAAAAGTTAACTGAGATCTTTTACTATAAAATACATCTTGATAGACTACTTGAAAGTGATATCAGGGGTTGTGACACACAATACTTAAAAAAACTCAAAAACATTTATTATTTATTATTATTTCACAAATTTTAATTTCTATAAAAAAAGATTTTTCATCCGTTTAGATTAATATATAAATTATAAAAATGTCTATTATCATGAACTATAAGTTATTTTTTTACAGTTTGTAGATCAGTTTAACTAATAATTAAATAAGTATAAGTACATTATTAATAGGTTGATTATTGTTATCATTAACCCAGTTGTTTCCAACCGGAGTGCCACGGACTTAAATTGAGGGTACCATGAAATTATTTGTAATATATTTTTTAAGAAAAAACTTTTTCGTGAAAAATAAAATGCTTTGAGCAATAACATAGGCTATAATATAAAACCTATTTCATATAATGTGTAGTAATACCACGATCAATCTATTTTAATTTTCATACCAGTTTGATTGTTAACGCTTCGATAGTATCGAAGCTACAAAATATAAGTATAAATACTTAATGTATTACTATTAAGTAAAGAATGTATATATATATAGATATTTAGATATGTAGCATGCTTCCGGATTTTATAAAATAACTACAGAGTCAAAAAAAATTTGAAACCTCTGCATTAATCATTGAATAAATCTAATTCTTTGTGAAAAATATAAAATATATTATTGTTAAATGAATACCACTAGCTAATTTATTATTTATATTTACATATATAACAGATTACTAAGTTTATTTTCATAGCTTTTAACAACTTTAAATAAAAAACTTAAAACTATTAATTTATTGTTGTTATTTTTAAAATAAAAATAACATTGTCGCTGTTTTAAATGGAAAATCATTGAATTATTTCAAATGTATGTATACAAAAATATATTTAAAAAATATAAATTATTAATGCCAATGCACTTCGCTAGGATGAGTAATTTGACCAAGTTTGAAGAACCTTGTTAAATTATTTTGAGCAGTTGATTGGGCTGTTTTTGATTGTGGTTGTGGCAACTTTCCATCACGTTTTAATACTCCAACACACTTCCACGTATCTACAGTAGCTAAAATAATTTTTAAAAAATGGTAATCATTAAAAATTATATTATTGCTTTTAATAAAAACTTACATTTCCATAATCTTACACATCCATCATCACCTGATGATGCTAAGACAGTACCAGTAACATTCCACGCAACACGCCATACTGTACAATAATGATCATCAAATTGTGCTGCAGTTTCAATAGTATATGGAAAACCACTTGTAGCATCACTGTTCAGAAAAATACCAAATAATGAAAGTATGTATATTTTTATATACAAAAATTATAACTATTATGTATACGTTAATGGTTTAAGCTTCAATATGCGAACATTGTTTGTAGCAACTGCTAACAAATAAAAGGACCTTCCCATATTTGGTGCAAATATCATATCATGTACTGGATGAGCAACACTAGCAACAGATTCAGTCTTGGCCCATCTTCTAGACACTTCATTGTATTCACATATAAATACTTTACTATTTGTAGTATTAGAATTATCATCACTGCCGACTGCAATCATTGCATTTGGCATTCTAAAACTATTAAACATTAAAACAATTATAATATAATATAATATTTTTCAATAAAAATACTATAAAATTGTATTAAATAACTTTAAATTATTACTTAGATAGTAAGGGATTCCATGTTAGACAACTGCTAGGATTTTTTAATGATACTTCATGTTGCAACGGCCACTGAGCTAAGTTCATTGCATCTGGAGCTTCATAAATACGCATCACACCATCAGCAGAGCAAGTAGCTAAAATTAATCCAAATGATTTTGGACCAAACTTTACATCAGTTACAGATGTTCGAGAATCAACTAAGTTTGCTCTTCGTACCCAATGTCGTAATAATGTACCACCTTCATTACTTTCACCAACTAAAAATTTGCAGCAAGTATGATATTTAATAAATATTTCAGAAAATGTACATATATAACATCAAAGTGTTATGGTATTTACTTATTTCTTCCCAAATAGCAGCAGTACGGTCAAAAGAACATGTTGCCAAAACTTGACCAAATTCTGGATGAGCCCAAGTCACTTTCCAAACAGATCCACTATGAGCCTTCCAACTAGCAGTTAAATTCCAATTACCCTGTTCATCCTGATCCCAAACCTATATAATTTATTCAAAATTAAATACTTAATTTTTAATTGAGCATTGTAGTCAATTATGAGATTAAAGACACTAAAACTCTTTTATGTTACCCACAATATTTCATCGTATTAAAGATCAAAATGTTCGCTAGACACTTTGTTAATACATAATTATAATCGCTAGTTCAACGCAATCAAATTTGTTAAAATAGATAAATCTTGAACTTACTTTGACAAATTGATCCGTGGAACAAGTCGCCATTCTTTCTCCATAATAATCAAATGCAACATCGTGTATTAGATCTTTATGTTCGGCATTTATACTATGTGCTTCGACCATTCTTCACATTCGTAAAGCACATAAAAATAAAAATATATTGCTGTTATTTTCGATGTACTCAGGGTATTTATCTTCAATCTCGTAAATTGATAATGTTTAAAAATTCAAACGCTTAAGAATTCATTATTTCCTGCAGAAAGAATGATAAAAACTTTTAGGTTAAATATATTACATGGTAACTTTTGTATTCTCTTTGACACTCGATCGATAGTTTCTCGGCTGGCGCCAGGATGTCGTTGAAGATACAAAAGGGTAAGTTTATTATGGCTTTTTGAACATGTATTGATTTTTGGAACTGTGTGGGCTTAACGAAATGGTCCAGGAAGCTTACAGAATTATAGTCTTTTGTTTTCATATAACTACCAGAAAAAATTAATTTGTATTTAGGGATATATGTGTAATAAAAATTATTTTACTTAAAAAAAATAAAAATGTCTCCTTGGTTAACCATTAAATTCATTTGATGTGATTAACATAATTGATTTTATATATTTAACGATATACAAATAAAATCGTTATAATTTTAACTAACTTATAATACAAATTTTTGAATATGATAAGTCAATCATTATTAAAAATATTTGAAATTAATAAAGTCCAAAATGTATGTATACTTTTTATGAAAATAAATAATGAACGATTTGATAAATTCGTAACAATTTTAATTAATTCATGACAATTGTCTCATTATAAATTACTAAATACTGATAATTACGTTCGCGTTCCTACAAAAAATGTATTTACGGAATTTTTTTGTGTGATAGAATACTCCAAAAATCGAATGTAAATCGGTTATAAATTGAGAAAAATATGTTGAAACTAAAACATTAGATAAGCATCATTTTTAGATCCGCCTCAAAATTTAATAAAATTAAAATGTAACCTTTTTTATTTAAATAAATTTAATACTTTAGGTACAACAATTTATAATATATAAAAACAATAAAAAAAAATTTATAATTTCACTTATTTTTATCGACTATAATAATTGTTTCTTATAGATAGATAGAGGCAAGTGGTTGTAGCGGCAATAGACCTAAAGAGCCCGTAAAAGCCAAAGAAAGAAGAAAAAGAAGAATAATAATTATTATTTCGTTATAATAATTTTGAGTTTTATTAAAAATTTACTCAAAAATAAATAAATTAATTAAAATATAAACGAATTGCTTCACTATAGAACTGAGTTCAAAAGCTATTGGATGTGGGAAAAGGATTTGATCGAATCAAACCACATTGGCCTACTTCCATTAACTTTTGGATTTAGACGTAGAATAGATTAATTTTTTAATTTTAAAATGATTATTTTTTTATCTCTTTAAATTATAATAAAAAAAAACTAATCTGAATTTCTACAAATTTTGCTGATAGATATTAAATCCATTACAATAAATAATTTATCGATATTCTATTTATCGATAGCCTATTTTAATAGTTTTAACTAAGCCAATAACTTAATAGTTTCATGAATATATATTTAAAAATATAGCGTAAATTGAAAATTGATTACAAAAATAATTTAAAATAGCTATTTTCAGATTTACCAGTAGTAAACTAATTATGGTATATATATATATCTACATAGGTTACTATAATTTATAGCTCTTACCTATATAAAAAAAAAAAATATTAAATAAAAAATTATAAACTTAAAAAAATGAGAATTTGATTAAAATAAAAATAAAATAGTTTCTTTTATGATGGAAAATAATTTTTATTTATCTCGATCATAAATTTAATTTCTAATCAAACTTACCATTTTAACAGAAAAAAAATTGTAAATACGTAACTTTGAAAATGTGATTTTATGCTGTCTTTTTATGTAGATATTATTTAAAGTTTTATTTTCAATAATGTATACCACTCAATTACACATTAAATAATATGTTGTGTAATTTTCTTAAAAAAGTTCTTAAAATCATTATTATAAAATGTTTTAAAAAATTTAATAAATTATAATATATAAACCTAATTATTTAACTAATATATTTATTACGGTAAATATCTTAAAATAAAATAATAATATATATATATATATATATGTATATTATATCTTATAATATTTTATATCTTATCTTCTTTCTTAATATTTTTCATCATAACGAGTACAATTACTTACCTTAGCATTGTTTTAATTTGTATTATAGTTATACTTATTATACCTATTTATTTGTAAATAGATTATCCCGTTTTAAAATTCTAAACAGAAATATAGAACACCTAATGTACATAACTGGTTCATATTTTCCTTTAGGCAGGATAGGCAATTGTCTATGGCCTTTGTTATTAGAGGCTTCATATTTTTATAAATTTTTTTTTATTTTTTTTTTAATAAAAATTTCATCATATAAAATAACATAATATAATATATAATATAATGTAATACAAGTATTTCAGAGAAATACAGAAATCTATAAGGATAAAAAATATACTTATAACCAGGGCTCGGGACTTATAGCACTTAAAATCATTAAAATAGGCGCTTAAAAACATCATTATAAGCACTAAAATAAGCATTTAAAAAATTTAAAATTGAGCAAAAATATTTATTCAAATAAAAAAAAACTATAAAATTCTAACTAAAAAATCAAACAAAATAAAAATAAATTTTCACTTTTAAGATTTTAAGGATTTTTTTGGATTTTCTAAGGTATTTTTCTGATAAATAAAATATAAACTGTTCTTTCTGTTTTTGATTATTTTGACGTTTGACACTCAGTTCTATTTTTAGCGTTGGAATATCTTTGTTAACCCTACATTGATACCTCAGGCGGAGACAAACTACGTAACAACGTAGACAAGATAAGAATTATTTTTATTTTTAATTCTATCAAAAACGACTTTGCAGAAGAAAACTAAATAATGTAACAATAATTAGTCAAATAAGCAAAAATAATTAGAAAAACTGGAAATAAGCATTTTTTTTAAATTGCTGAAAGAAGCAAAAAAAGGCACTTTCAAATTTCTTAATTGTACGTATTATAACTTGACATACACTTCTATAGCACTCTGCTACATTTTAAGTCATTCTATAAAAATAAGCAAATGCTTTAACTCCCGTGCCCTGCTTATAACATTTTGAATTAAAGTGTAATTATTAATTTTTTTTGTAGAACTAATGTGCATAGGAAGTGCATAGATGCATTACCGTTAACAAAGGACCACATTTTTTCATTTTGCCTAAGGTTTCAAAATGTCTAAATGGGGCCGTGGTACATAGGGGGACTGACCCATAGTCACTACTTACATAGCCACTCTATTTACGACTATCCCTATCTAGTTATATCTCTCATGTGTTGGTCCACTCGTTAGTAACCTTCAGTGCATACTATAGATGGGACTTATCGTTCACTTGGTTAAACTATTTCATAGTAGTACGTATAGGGGGGGGAGGCGATAAGGCGATGGCCTCCCCCCTTGTACTTTTTTTATCTTAGATTTATTTAATATTTTTGATATATGTATAAAATCATAATAATAATAATAGTAATAATATCCATTCGATCCGCCATTACACAAACTTCAGATCCGCCCCTAATATATATATTTAATTCAAAATAACTCATTTTAAAAAATAAATACCAAAATATAAATACTTTGCTTACAATTTAATTAATTATGTTTAAACACATAGCCATAATATACATAATATCAAATATAGGTTCTAAATTATTTTAAATTGTATATAGCATTGTAGTTTAGCGTTTAAAATACGTTTAGAAACCAGGAAATTGGCGTGCTCACAGGGTGGGCTTTCTTAACTTGTTTAATCATCGAATAAAACAATATACACGGAATACATTTATGATGATTAAAAAATATTAGGTATTGCGCATGTATATATATACTAACTAGTATCAGTTCCGTATTTAGACATTTTGCACCCCGGCGCAAGAAAAAAAAAATTGGTGCCCCTCTAAGGGGTCTGCCCACGGAAAATGTAGGAGATAAAACCTAATGAACTTTTAAGATATTCTAAAATCAATGCTATTTTTGTGTAGTAGGCACGCCACCGCACGCCGCACGCGATAACATAATATGCCGTATTATTATAAATAACTTATGTTTATTGACATTATCACAACAAATTTGGGAACTTGTATGAGATATATTAATAATATTCTGGATCGCTGATAGCTATATTGCTATAAATACATTAATAATACATATTAATAAATTAAATACATTAACATTCATTTGTGATACTGTTATTAAAAATAGAAAAAATAATTATTTCAAAATAATTTTAAAAGTTCAATAATTCACAAGTGAGCAAATTTCCGACTACATAATTTTGGCGCCCCGGGGCAGACTAGTATATGTATTTGTGTGTGTATTATACCATTATTACATATATACCAAACTAATTTTTATTTGTAAGCAGATCTTAGGACTATAATACGGAATCATTTCTAAAAATATTCCAAATAAAAAACATTGGCCTTCCTGTAAGTAAAAAGATGGATATAATTTTAATAAGTAATAGAATAGATTCTTGAATTTATTTACATACTTGGTCCAGTGAGAGAAAGATATCGAGCATTGATTAAAATGTAATAGGCATAATATTGATTTGCTTTAAATAGTAAATAGTTAAAAAATATTTAGTTTTTTAATTTAAAATGTAATAATACATAATTCTAATGCATTTATAGATAATAGATGTACTCGTATATTTATATTTTCATAAAAAATCTTACAATTTATTTTAATAACTACTTTTGTTATTTTTCTTGTCTTTTTTTAAAAAACATAGTTCAGCGCTAGCATACACGTAATAAATAGAGCCATATAGAGGAGTAGTATTACATTTAAGCAGTTATTATAAATCACAAACAGGATGTATTCGAATACGATTGTCTATTTAGCAACAATATAAAGTATACTAGTATATGTATGGGCGCTATAAAGTGTAAAAGAAAAAAAAATACAGCTTATTCATTGAAAACATAAAATAGTTAGGTACAATAACAATGAAATTATTTATAGGTATAATCTTGTTACAACTTAACATAATTTTCTTAAGTGTAATTACATTTTTTATTCTAATATTTTATACCGATCCTGTTATTTTAGTTACATATTATAAGATATATTGGACGTTTAAATATGATATATTTTAC